TTCATTCTTTTTGAGTCTTTTTTCCATTTCTTGTTCTTTCTGGGAGCTTCTTTCTACCTTGTCCTCCATCTCACTGATTCAATCCTCGGCTTCATCCAGCCTGCTTTGGATTCCTTCTACTGTGTTCTTCAATTCAGAAACGGTATTCTTCATATCCTCTTGTGTCTTATTGATAGTTTCTATGTCCTTTTCCAGGCTGATATAGTTTGCTGTAAGATCCTGATAGTTTCTCTGCAGTTTCTCATAGTTCTCTTTGAGCTGGCTGAGCTCATTGAGCTTCCTTTAGAACCATTGTTTTGAATTCCATATCTGATAGTTCCCTTGCCTCTATTTCATTTAGCTCTCTCTGTGGGGAGTCCCCTTTTCCACTCATTTGGGAGGAACTTCTTTTTTCTTCCATTTTTGTGAGAGTCTGTTAAGTATTTTTGTCCTTTACTTTTCTTTCTGGGCCTGCCTCTGATGATGTCAGTTGTTGACCCTATAGGGCCTTGGGTTGTTTGTTTGAGCCTTCCAGGAGTCTAATGCCTGTGTCTGACTCCTGCTTGGAGCAGCTCTGTGACCCCTTCGGTCAGGGCTGTGCTATTTTTTGAGATCTCTCTGCACTGTCACACGGGCTCCTTGAGCGCGCTCCCAGCGCAGCAGGATCTCCCGTCTGCCTGGGCTCACATGTGCTTGCCCCAGACCAGGGGGCTTATTCTCGACCTCGCGTACTCATCTGGCCCCCCTGGCTGGCAAGCTCCACGGCACTGGTCAGTTTAGGGTCTTCTATTGTGTATTTTCCCCACTTTTGGCTCTTTGGTTGCGTTGCTTGCCCTCGCCAAATGGGGACTATGGAAATGGGAGGAAGTCAGCTCCAGGGCTCTCCGGTTAATCCTGTCTCTGATCTCTCCTCCAGGGACTCTGGGCAGCTCTACTAATTTTGTGGGTCGCTCCGCAATCGCGGGCGGGCAGGTGAATTTACGCCTGCCCTTGCCGCTCTGTGCACTCCCTTGCAGGCCGTATCGGTGCCAATCTGTGGGAGACCTTGCCGGCCGGTGGAAGCATTCGCCAGCCCGCGCGGGTCACACACACGCTCGCCAACCCTCGCCTGTCACTCGGCACAAGTGTGTGCGCCTGCACTGGGTGTTTTGGGGGTGTCTATGTGTGCTTTTCGGCTTTTGGCTCTTTGGGGGTGTGGCCTCTTCCCGTGCAATGGAGACTATGGCAAGGAGGAGTTGGGACTCCCTGGTTCCTCCTCCTGTTCTTTCCCCAACGCCTTAGTTTAGTCTCTCCTCAGGGTCTCTGAGCAGTTCTGTGACCCCTTCGGCCAAGGATCCCCCCCCTGTGCAGACTGCGTTTCAATCGCAGGCAGTCTGGTTCATGCACGCCCTGCTTCTGCCTCTTTGGGGTCGCGCCTTTCCAGCCCACAATGGGGACTACAGAACGTGGAGGGAGTCGGGACTCCCGGGTTCTTCTTCCCGTTCTTTCCCGAACGCCTCCGTCTCCAGTCTCTCCTCAAGGCTCTCCCAGCCAGTCTGCACTCAGCCCTGCAGCTCACACGCGTACAAGCTGTGTGTGGAGCACACAAAAGGCAGGTTAATTGATTCCCTTATGCCTGAGCGAGATGGTAGCTGCAGAGTGGGAGGCGCGCCATCACCGGGGTTCCACCAGCCGCCATGTCAGTTCTCGTCACAAAGTTTTCCTCACCAGTCTTTTCCCAGGCACCAGCCCACCCTGCTGCCGCCTGTACCCAGCGATCAAGGAGGGTGGCTGCCGCTGCAACTTTTGCGTTGACCCTTTAAATGTCTCTTTGCATCCCCAGCCACCTGTCTCTGGCAGAGAGCGCCCCTAAGCTTTTTGGGAATGCGTTTTGTCTGTATTTTCTTGGCTTTAGCTGCTCTAGTTTAGGGGTTCCTGTTTATGATTCAGACCCCGTTCTTCTCGGGGGGGACACTAACTGGCCGTTTCAATGTCCCTCTGGTGCCAGTGCCCGTGGGCACCCAGCCCACCCTCTCGAGCCTCCACCTCACTTCTCACCCGTTGGGATGCGTGAGAGTCGAATCTACTGTCCGTGGCACCAAGGCTCCTCTCCCACTATCGCTCCACTGCTTTCCAGGTGATTACTCCATTATTTAGTTGCAATTCCAGTTTGGTTTTGGGAGGAGGTCAGCGTGACTCCCATTCACTCCTCTGCCATCTTCTCTCCTCTCTCTAGAATTTTTTAACTTAATATTTTTGAACCTCATTTGATCGTGGGTAACTAAAACTGCGGAAAGTGATACCATGGGTAATGGGGGACTGCTGTACTGTTTTTGGGAGTGACTTTTTCATTCACTTGTGAGAGTCATCTGTTCTCACGTGTAGTGGGATTTCATTAGTTCATTTGTTTCCTGCTTTCTCTCTGTGCAGACCTGGGATAAGTGACATTGTGAGAACCAGAGTAGCACAGCCCTTTTGCACTCGTGGAGCATCTTTTCCTCATAAAAACCACCCTCTTTGATTTCTCACAAAGTTGGGCACTGCGCCCTCCAGCACCACATCTACTTTAAAAGGAATCTCTTGGGGACTTCTATGTTTGCCTTGGATGCTGTCAGCATAAAAGAATTTTCTTGAACACATCTTCATTTGGAGGGTAGAAGGAGAGAATAAGAGAGCAGTGCTTTCTGGAAGGACATTTTTAGGCAAAGGAAATGAAGCACCAACTAAAAGCGTTATTAGGAACTTGAGCCTGGAAGCCAGCCTTCAGTGCAGAGATTTACTTCTGTCTTCTGTGCCCCACCCCTTCTATTAGTCTAATTCAGAGCTCAAGGGCTTAAGAAACTGAGAGCAAGTCTGTCTCTCTTGAGGCTGGGAAAACTGGTTTTAATTCAGGCTCTGAGAAGCCTTCCTCCCTGCAAGGCTGTGGCTGGTGGGCTTTCCCTATCAAAGCCAGTGTGGTTTTCTTCATACAAAAGCTCAACGCCAGGACAAACTTGAGAACAGGAATACAGCTGATGCTTTTCAATAGTCTTAAAAGAAGATGAAAGGGACTAGTTATTCCTGCGAGTATAGTCATGTAGTTAAGTCAGGGATCAAGTAGAAAAACTGAAACTGTGCAGTTTGCTCTAGTGGCTGGTTGTCCCAAGCCTTGTGCCTGCCGGGATAATGTACTGAAATATTTGGCAGAGACTTAATGGGAGGTTCTTTGCTTGGCAGTTAGAGCACACTACAGAGTGGTTGATTTAGCAAGCTGGGTCATCCTTAGGCACTTCCTTTTAGGTCCAACATCCTTACATCTGTTTGTGTACATGTGGGATTAAGTAAAAGAACAGCCTAAATCCATTGCCTTTAACATCAGATGACCAACCTTGAATTTAGCAGTATTTATTGCTAACAACTTTATAATATTATATTATTAAGCTTATTGAGAATTTATGTATCCCTGGCCCTTTCCAGGGATTTTACATACATACTTTCATTATTCTCCATAGGACCTGGAAGGATAGATAGGATTACTTCCATTTTGCAAGTGAATAAATTGAGGATTAGAGAATTTAACTAATCTGCTAGTAAGTAACAGGTGTAAGAAGTAGGGTTGAAGTTCAACACTGGGTCTCTTGTATTCCAAAGGTCATATCCTTTGTACTTATACCACACTACCTTCTAAAAATAACCACCGGCCTTTCCAACATGCTGGTCCTCTCATGGGCCTTTGACTTCCATTCACCCCAACACGTATTCTTCAGTGTTTGTCCAACAAATGACTGGTTTTAGAACAGCTGAAAGCTACAAATACCTTGTTACATTTTAACTTCAGCTAGTTGTTGGAGCTTCACTATAACATAATTATATTTTATTAAAGGAACTTTTAAAAATATTTAAAATCATAGAGCATAATGGAAAACACTCTGGTAAATAAGGAGTCATTGGTTTTGTTCCTAATGTTAACACAAATCAAAACAAGCCATGAGACCTTGGATGCAGACTTAATTCCTATGTGCCTCATTTTCCCTTGTTTGTGAAATGAGGAAGTTGAAGTATGTGGTCACGAATGTCTCTACCTGTTCTAAAAACATGGGCTTCTGTAACTTTTGCTTTTTGTTTTTGTGATTCGAAAATGATTTCAGAGTACAAATATTTCATTAAAAATTTTTTCATCTTTCATTTATAGTCAGCATTTAATATTGTATTAGTTTTAGCTGTATAGCATAGTGGTTAGACAGTTATATAACTTTTTAAAAATTTAATCTGTACTGTATTTTTTCCCATTACAATTTAGTCCCCTCATACCCGCTACCTCCAGCAATCATCACACTGTTGTCCATGTCCACGGACATTTATATAACTTATAAAGTGATTCCCCCAATAAGTCTTGTACCCACCTGACATCTTGTAGAGTTATTTCAATATTATTACCTATATTCCCTGAGCTGTACTTTACATCCCCGGAACTATTTTTTAACAGCCAGTTTGTACTTCACCTTTTTCATTCTATTCCCCCAACCTCCTCCCATCAGGCGACCGTGAGTTTGTTCCCTGTATCTATGAGTGTATTTCTGTCTTGCTTGTTCATTAAACAAATGTTTCTTAAAGGAGTCTCATTACTAAATGCAAATCAAGAGAATTGGATAACATTGGGATTTTCAAAATTTCTTGAAAAAGATGTAAGTTCTTTACTCTTCCAAGTAACGATATATTTTCCATTGCATTTCCTAGTCCATCATTCCCACCAAAAGAAAAGTGCCTAAGTTCTTATACAATGCACATTGGAGCTTGGATTCCTTCAGGGTCTGGCAAGCTTTAATCTTGGATAAGATGATGTAAAATATTGCCAATAGCCAGCCTCAAGTTGCCAACCCAAATATAAATCCCTCCTTATTCAGTATACAAATTTATAATGTAAACTGTTTTAAATTATACCTGGTACTATTGAATAGAATTAAGGCACTGTTGAGCTACTCTGAAAATAAAACTAAGAAATATTATGGTCTAATTACTTAAAAATATGCTATACTTAAAAAAACTTTTACTGCATCATTTAGACCCAATAAAGAGAAAACCGGCCATGTGAGTGACTCAGGATCATCTGTCATCAAACATGGGCTCAACCCAGAGAAGATCTTCATGCAGGTTCATTATTTAAAGGTAAGCACATCTAAGTGACAGAAATCAGTTATTATGGTGAGGCATTTTTTAGGTTATACACCTAAACAGTGAAGATTAGTAATTAGTAACATGGTTGGGTCAAAACAAAAATGAATCGACATTGTAATGACATTTGACTGGATAGATAGCTGATTGTCCAATAATTAAAACACTTTATACCCCAAAAATGAGACATGAGCCAAAGGAACCTGAACGGTTTCCTGCCCTATACTGCCCTGTGTTCCCTTCTTACTGCCGCATGTCAGCTTTGAAGAGCAGAATCTTAAAATTGCTGTAGTGCTCCAGCTAGAAGATAGGAGTAAGAAGAAAGTATTTTAAGTTGTAAAGCCTTTCCCAGTAGCTGAAGGAGAGAGGCGCCAGTCCCCTCTGCCCTTCTGGTCTGAGATGGGCGTCCAGGCTTCATGGACACCAAGAAAAAATGAGAATGGGATGACCCAGATGAGCTGAAAGCAAAGTAGTCAATCCTTAATTTCAAGGTCCAACCCTACTGGTAAGAATATAAAGGACAGCCTGGAACACATCAAATGGAGCGTTCTAGATGTGCACAATGTGCTGGTGGGTAAGTTAGAGTTAACTGTGTAAGCATTTTTCTGATGAACCTATGATAGGCATCTTTTTTTTACTTCTACTTCTTCCTTCTAGGGCTATTTCCTTCTCCGGTTCCTTGCCAGAAGACTTGGAGATGACACCTATTTTTCATTTTTAAGAAAATTTGTGCATACATGTCATGGGCAGTTGATTCTTTCTCAGGTAATTTATGAGTTCTCATGAGTCTGTAATATACATTTGGTGGGGGTATGGCATGTTGGGACTAGATGATATGAGCATTAAAAAGTGGGGGAAAGACTTACTATTTAATACATTAGGAAAAATGGGAAGCTAATTAAGTGGACACAGGGAAGTATGGTTTTAGGGAGGGTGAGCTCCCTCTAGTTTCAAGACATCTGTGACCCAAAACTGTCTTGTGCACAGTGACATGGGTAGTTGTATCTTAAGTGACCTTAAAAACAAAAACAACAAAACAATCTTGTTGTTCCTCTACCTGGAATGATCTTTGCAAGGTTGGCTCCTTCTTATCCTTTTGTCTGGACCTGAATACTGCATTCTCAGAGTCACCCCAGCTCATCAGATCCGCATCCACCCTGTTATTCTCTGCCCTTTTCCTTTTTCCTTGCCTTCATTGTCATTGCCATTGCATTATTTATAATTATATTTTCATTTAAGGTCACTTGTTTTTTTTCCTATCTCCTCCATTCTACCTATAAACGCAGCAAGGCCAGATCATGCCCTTCATTTGTTCAGTACTTAATATAGGGTTGGCACACAGTATGGATACCATATATATTTGATAAACCAATAGATTAACAACAAGATACTGAAATATTCAGACAGCCTGACCTCAAAACTATCAGAGAAAGACCATCAGCTTATATAGGTGAGCAGCCAAGGTGTACATAGTAATAAGAAAGTTAACAAATGGGGCCAGCTCTGGAAACAGTGCTTGTAACTGACAGAGAGTAGAGGATGCAGCCTCAGCTCAGATTGGATTGATAGGTTTTTTTTAAAGATTTTATTTATTTACTTTTAGAGATAGGGGAAGGGAGGGAGAAAGAGAGGGAGAGAAACATCAATGTGTGAGAGATACATCCATCAGTTGCCTCTCACATGCCCCCAAGTGGGGACTTGGCCCGCAACCCAGGCATGTGCCCTGAGTGGGAATCGAACTGGCAGCCTTTCAGTTCACAGGCCAGTGCTCAATCCACTGAGCCACATCAGTGAGGGCTGGGTAGTTTTGTTATTTGACATTTATGCTCACATGCAGTTTGGGGTCTACAATGTCAGATATAAATGATATGCAAGTATAATCTGAAGACATGGAGAGAAGAGCATGAGTGGCTGGCTACTCCTCGTTTCCATATTCCTTTTATTACTTTGGTTAGGGAAGAGGGGTTTTTCCTAAACATGAACCTGGAAAGGCAACTTGAAAACTGGCTCAAACGTCTTATGTGCTTGGTTGACTGATTAGACAAAATTCCTACTGCTGAAAACCACTTCTCCCAGTATCCTGCAACATTGAATGAGTGCATTGCATTTACAGTGTATCTAGGTTCTGATTTCAATGTCCCATGGAATACTTTGTGCTCTCTCCCCCAAATTTTTCAGTTTTTCTTTCATCTCTTTCAAAAAATTTTATTGTTTTTTTATAAAAGCTTTATTGAGATATAATCGACATGCCATAAAATTCACCCTTTTAAAGTATATAAGCCAGTGGTGGTGTTTGTTTGTTTGTTTGTTTTGTTTTTTTTCCCTAATGTACACAGGGTTGTGCCACCATTACCAATATGAAATTTCAGGCCATTTCCATCACCCTTAAAACAAACCCCTCCTCTGTTAGCGGTCACTCCTCTTTTCTACCCCCTTTAGCCCCTGACAACCACTAACCTGCTTTCTGTCTCTAGGGATTTGTCTATTCTGGACATTCAAGATAAATGGAATCATATAATACAGGGTGAGGCAAAAATAAGTTTACAATTGTCAGTACATGAAACACAGTTTATTCTTGTATTATTATTTATTAATTCTTGTATTTTTTTATTTGTATTACACCATAAACCTACTTTTGCCCACTGCTGCATGTCATTTGTAACCGGCTTCTTGTCATTCAGCATAATGTTTTCAAGGTTCATGTTGTATCATGTATCAGTACTTTATTCTTCTTTTAATTTTTACTTTTTAAATTGTGGTAAAATATACATAAAATTTACCATTTTAACTATTTTTAAGTATATAGTTCAGTGCATAAGTACATTCATATTGTTGTGCAACCATTACCACCATGCATACAGAATGTTTTAATCTTCCCAAACTGAAACTTGTATCCATTAAACAGTAATTCCACATTCTTTTCTCCTCACAGGCCCTGGCAGCCACTCTTCTACTTTCTGTCTCTAGAGTTTGACTACTTTAGGGACCTCATATAAGTGGCATCAGATATTTGTCCTTTTGTGTCTGGCTTATTTCACTTAGCATAATGTCTTCAAGGTTCATCCATCTTGAAGCATGTGTCAGAAATTTTTCCCTTTTTAAGACTCAATATTTTGTGTATATATATATAGGTGTGTGTGTTTATCCATTCATCTGTTGAGGGATGCTTGGGCTAGTTACACCTTTTGGCTCTTGTGAGTAATGCTGCTTTGAACATTAGTATACAGATATCTTTTCAAGTCTCTGCTTTCAGTCTTTTTGAGTATAGACCCAGAAATAAAATTACTAAATTATAGGGTAATTCAGGGGTTTTTTTGAGACATTGCCTTAACTGTTTTCTACATTGGTTGCACAATTTCACATTCTCACCAGCAATGCACAAGGGTTCCAGTTTCTCCATATCCTCACCAATACTTGTTGTTTTCTATTTTTCCTTTTTCATGTCACAATTTTATTATTTCAAACATGCACAAAAATTGTTCTATAGGTAAAATAAATAGAGTGATAACAATTTTCACACATTTAAGAAGGGTAATTATGGTGTTACAAGAGAAAAATTTTAAGCAGACAAAATTAAGAACTATGCTCATACATGTAGTTTAAACTAAGTCATTTCACCTTTCTGAGCAGAAGTTACACCACTTAAACAATGAAGGTGTTGAAAGTAGTGGTGATGGTCCATTCTTTCCTTCTTCTCTTTCTTTTTTTTGTTTCTCTTTCCTCCTTTTGCATTTTATGGGGGGTTTTTTGTTTGTTTGTTTGTTTCTGAATTTTTCAAATACACTCATCTCCATTTACTCACCACAACTTTCCCTTGCCCCAACCACCCCCCGCAATCCTTCCTCAAGTGGCTTCATCCATGTGTCCTTCACACCTGTTCCTTGATCTGAGCCTTTTTCTTCCCCTCCCCGCTCCCCCTCCCTTCCTCCTTCTCTTCCTCCCTCCCTCCCTCCCTCCTTCCTATCCCTGTTGGTTTCTTCTTTCTTTCAATGTTGCTGGTCATATTTTCCTTGCCTGCTTGCTTTGCTGATTAGGTTCCACTTATAGGTGAGATCATATGGTATCTGTCTTTCACTGCCTGGCTCATTTCACTTAGCATGATGCTCTCCAGTTCCATCCATGCTGTCACGAAGGGTAGTAGCTCTTTCTTTCTTTCTGCTGCGTAGTATTCCACTGTGTAAATGTACAATAGTATTTTGATCCACTCATTTACTGATGGGCACGTAGGTTGCTTCCAGCACTTGGCTATTGTAAATTATGCTGCTATGAACACTGGGGTGTATAGGTTCTTCTGAATTGATGTTTTGGAATTCTTGGGGTATAAAGCCAGCAGTGGAATGGCTGGGTCAACAGGCAGTTCCTTTTTTAGCTTTTTGAGGACATTCCAAACTGTTTACCACAGTGGCTGCACCAGTATGCATTCCCACCAACAGTGTACTAGGGTTCCCTTTTCTTCACAACCTCGCCAGCACATGTTCTTTGTTGATTTTTTTTTATGATGACCATTCTGACTGGTGTGAAGTGGTATCTCATTGTGGTTTTAATTTGCACTTCTCTGTTGGCTAGTGATGCTGAGCATCCTTTCTTATGTCTCTGGGCCCTGTGTATGTCCTTCTTGGAGAAGTGTCTGCTCAGGCCCTTTGCCCATTTCTTAATTGGATTGTTTGTCTTCCTGGAGTAGAGTCATGTGAGTTCTTTATATCATTTGGAGATCAAACCCCTGTTTGCAGTATCATTGGCAATTATATTTTCCCATATGTTTGGTTCCCTTTTCATTTTGCTAATGTTTTCTTTAGCCATACAGAAGCTTCTTATTTTGATGAAGTCCCATTTGTTTATTATTTCCTTTATATCCCTTGCTCTAGGGGACATATCAGTGAAAATATTGCTGTGTGGGGTATCTGAGAGTTTCCTGCCTATGTTTTCCTCTAGGACTTTTATGGTGCTGGGACTTATATTTAAGTCTTTTATCCATCTTGAGTTTATTTTTGTGTATGGTGTAAGTTAGTGGTTGAATTTCAATTTTTTACATGTAGCTGTCCAGCTCTCCCAACACCATTTGTTGGAGAAGCTATTTTTACTCCATTTTATGTTCTGCCCCCTTTGTTGAATATTAATTGACCACAGAGACATGAGTTTATTTCTGGTCTCTTTATTCTGTTCCATTGATCCATGTGTCTATTCTTTTGCCAGTACCAGACTGTCTTGATTACAGTGGTCTTGTAATATAGTTTGATGTCAGGTATTGTGATTCCTCCTAGTTTGTCTTTCTTTGTCTCAAAACTGCTGTGCTTATTTGGGGTCGTTCATAGTTCCATATAAAGTTTTTGAATGTTTGTTCTATGTCTGTGAAATATGTCATTGGTATTTTAATAGAGATTGCATTGAATCCATAAATTGCTTTGGGTATAGGGACATTTTGATGATGTTAATTCTTCGAATCCATGAACATGGTACATGCCTCCATTTATTTGTGCTTTCCTTGTTTTCTTTCTTCAGTGTTGTGTAGTTTTCTGAGTATAGGTCTTTTGCCTCCTTGGTTAAGTTTATTCCTAGGTACTTTATTTTTCTTGTTGCTATAGCAAATGTGATTTCTTTTCTGATTTCTTCTTCTTCTATTTCATTGCTGGTGTACAAAACTGCCTTCGATTTCTGAATATTGACTTTGTATCCTGCTGTTTTGCCAAATTCACTTATTAGGTCTAGTAGTTTTTTGATGGAGTCTGTGGGGTTTTCCATGTATACTATCATGTCATCTGCAAACA